CTCCAAGCTCTGGGGATGCTCCGGGGGATGCTCGGCTGCCGTTGCCATGGAAACGTGAGCAGGAGGGGGATGCGAGAGCTGCTGCTGCCACCTCCTGGAGCAGCCGCGATGGCGAGGGGGGCAGGAGGAGCGCGGGTGAATCCCGGAGATGTCCCGGGCAGAGCTCAGCGCACACCCGGGCAGGGACATTGGGACCCAGCGGGGCCACGGGAGGCTGGCAGAATGTCACCCTGAATGTGCGGGGTCCCCCAAAACAACATTAACAATTCAAATTAATGGCCATGATCCCAAATCATAAAGTCATTAAAGTTGGAAAAGCCCTCTGAGATCATCCAGTGTAATCATGAACCCAGCACTGCCAAGGTCACCACTGACCACGTCCCCAGATGCCACATCCACACAATTTTAAAATCCTTCAAGGGATGGGGACTCCACTGTTGCCCTGGGTGGAGTCCCTTCAACCCTTTCCGTGAAGAATTTTTCTGAAATATCCAATCTAAAGCTCCCCTGGCCCAGCCTGAGGCCGTTCCCTCTCCTCCTGTCCCTGTTCCTGGCTGTCCCCTCCTGTCAGGAGCTGTGCAGAGCCACAAGGTCCCCCCTGATCCCCTTTTCTCCAGGCTGAGCCCCTTCCCAGCTCCCTCAGCCTCTCCTGGTGCTCCAGACCCTTCCCCAGCCCCTCTGGAGCCCCCAAAACCACCCCCAGCACTGGAGGTGCCCCAGCAGTGCCAGCTCAGTGCCCTGGTCCTGCTGCCACCCCAATGCTGGGACACACCAGGATCATGCTCATGTTGTATTTTGGGAAATTTGGGCGCATCCAGTGCTGGACTGGCCTCCCTGGGAGGACCCTGAAGATCTGCTGAGGTCAGCCCCAGGATGGAGAGTGGCTCAGAGGTGGCTGTTCCAGCAAGAGCCCCCCTGTCAGAACCCAGGACATTGCTCTGGCTGTCCTGGAGCACTCCAGACCCTGGCAGGGGCTCAGAGACCTTGGCACAGAGTCACAAACACCTGTGCCTTTGATCTTAGCCCATGGAAACAATTACCAACCTTATATGAGGATTCACAAGCCACAAATAAGTAGAATAATAGTTTATCACAGGGTGAAATGTAGAATTTTGGAGGTTTTAGAATGGGGGTTCAAGAGGCAAGATGGAGGAATCTGGGTATGTCCTGTCTTTCTTCTTCTTTTTCTTGTCCTCCATCTTCTGCTGTGATGGTGGCACTTTTGGATTGGTTTAGAGTAGAGACAGACTGTCTAACATAGGTGACAGGTATTGGGAAATTACTGTAAATAAAGTGCATGTAGTTTTTAGTATAAAAGATAACACGGCCCAGAGGGTGTCAGTGTGCCAAACCCGACCTGCTGGACAGATCTCAGCAGGTCAGAAAAATAATGTTACAGATAACAGCAAATAAACAACCTTGAAAACCAGAACAGAAGAATCCTGACTCCTTCTTTGGCATCCAGGCTGGGCAAAAGGACTCTCTAACACATCTCGGGGTCATCATGACCACAGAGACCCCTGAGACACTCTCAAGGAGTTAATGCCACCCTCAGTGCCCTGATGGAAGCAGCAGCAGAGAGAAAACGTGGCAGCACAGGGTGCAGATGGCAGAGGGTGGCTGGGAGCCTCCTCTGCCTGTGTGGAGGCACCACAGGGAGCGTGGGACGAGCTGGAGCTGCAGCTCAGCCTCGTTTCTCAGGGTTACAGCCAAGAGCTGCAGCTTTGCATCCATCCCATCACCTTCCCTTCCCATTCCATCCCATGGATCCCTTCCCTTCCCTTCCCTTCCCTTCCCTTCCCTTCCCTTCCCTTCCCATCCCATCCCATGGATCCCATCCCATCCCATCCCATCCCATCCCATCCCATGGATCCCATCCCATCCCATCCCATCCCATCCCATCCCATCCCATCCCATCCCATCCCATGGATCCCATCCCATCCCATCCCATCCCATCCCATCCCATCCCATCCCACCCCATGGATCCCAGGTGTGGGGTTTTATCCCAGTTCCCCCAACACCAGGCCCAGGCAGCAGCTGATGTCACTCCTTGTTCCACCTTGTCCCCAGGGATAGAAAATGTTTGAAGGATGCAGAGAGATCATAAATGTTCTTCATAAAATGTTCCTCTGTCTCCAGGGCAGGAAGGAGATATTTCCTCCCTCCTTTGTTTTACTTTTTCTTTTGTATCAAAGAAGATGAAAGGAATTCAAGTGCCATCCCTGCAGTGCTGCAGGCACAAGACTTCCCTGGGTATCAGGTTTTTTATTTTTCAGGGATCCCTGCAGCCACAGATTGGTATTAATGATCTGGATTTGCTTTTGGGGTTAAAAAGAAAGAAATCTGTGAATGCAGAACGTGGCTGTTCCTGTGCAAAGGGGAATATTGCAGCTTTGTAATTCACTGCCATCTTGTGATATTTAACATTTTCCTCAAATGATGAACATGAATTAGAACAGAACCCCAAACAAGAAAAAAACCCCCAAATCTGTTCCTAGTATCCATAGTTACAGAGGAAACTCTGAGACCCTGAGGGTGATGAGTAGTTCTTTTCTATCACAAAGAAATAAAATGAAAAGTTGTGACATTTTGTTGCTTTTAAGTTTATTTTTTAACCTGTAAACTCTTTGCACAAACTCCATTCTTCCATCAGACAAGAAGGTGGAGTTTTCCTTGATGAGGTCTCACCTTGTGTGCTCTGTAGACAAACGTTTTCAATCTCTTTTTAAATTTTTTTTGCCCTTTGCCTTTGGGTGGAATGGCAAAATTAGGTCAAGTTTGCTCCAATGAGCTCATTGTAATAATAATAATAGTAATTATAGCAATAATAGAATGAATTTAATTACTATATTTATTAGCATATATAAAATTGTTATATAAATATAATACAACAATAATTTTATCATTGCATTTATTAGTATATATAGAATTATTATTGTTATTATTATTATTATTATTACTACTACTATGAGCTCATTGGAGCAAACTTGTCCTAATTTTGCCATTCCACTCAAAGGCAAAGGGCAGGGGAAAAAAAAGATATTGGAATAACAATAATAATAGTAATAGTAATAATAATAATAATAATTTTATTATTATCATTATTATTACAAGCTCATTGGTGCAAACTTGTCCTAATTTTGCCATTCCACTAAAAGGCAAAGGGCAGGGGGAAAGAAAAGATACAGGAAATTATTATTATTATTATTATTATTATTATTATTATTATTATCATCATCATCATCATCATTATTATTATCATTATCATTATTATTATTCCTCCTTCCATGTACAATCAGAGTACCTGGGAGTCCTGTGCTACTTCCGAGGGAAAACATGAGGAAAATGCTGCATAAAGCATGGAAAAGTTTAACAGAAAATGGGGGTTTTTTTGGAAAGTCAGATAATAGGGGGAAGTTCAGCCTTTTTAAAACTGATGAAAGTAGATTGGACAAATCAGCAAAAAGCAAAATATGACCCCATCCTGTCTCTTGCTAAGGGGGGCAGTGGGAGGAGCTGCCCTTGCCCATGGCTGATTTTGATGAGTGATTTGCACATGGATCATCCCAAAGTGGGGAGCCCAAAATGTGCTGGCCAGAATTTTGCCGTATTTACCATTTTTCCCAGTGTTTTGCTGCCCTGTATTTGGTGCTGACTGTGCCAGGCTGGCAGGGCTTGGCCCCAGCCGAGTCCCACACAAGCACAGGCTCATCCCAGGGAATGGAATAAGGAGGGAATTGGGGGTAAAGTGAGAAAAGCCATTGCTTGATAGCACTGAATGATGGAATGGTTTGGAAGAGACCTTAAATCCCATCCAGTGCCACCCCAACCATGGGCAGGGACACCTCCCACTGTCCCAGGTTGCTCCAAGCCCCATCCAACCTGGCCTTGGGCACTGCCAGGGATCCAGGGGCAGCCCCAGCTGCTCTGGGCACCCTGTGCCAGAGGGTGCACCCTCACAGGGCAGGATTTCTCCCCAGTATCCCAAACTCTGTCAGTTTAGGTCCATTCCCTGTGTTGTGTCCCTCCATCCCTTGTCCCCAGTCCCTCTCCAGCTCTCCTGGAGCCTCAGGCTCTGGAAGGCTCGAGGGAGATGAAGTTTAGCACCCAATCCTGGGGTTTATTAGGAGAGGAGAGCACCCCCAGATTGTTCCACCTCTCCCCCAGCACCCTCAGCCACCAATCCTCACCAGGGACATTGGGGACAACTCCCAAGTGAGCCAGGACACCCAGGGATGTCCCTGTTCCAGGGCCAGCAGGGAGGGAACAACTCTCTTCCCATCTGGTGTCTCTTTGGGATATATTGAACTTGTGCTTTGAATTCAGCCAGTGAAGTCATTTTGGGGACACAGCCCTGAATTTGTTCCTCCTCCACTTCCACAGACACAGACTGAAAGAGCAGTTTAGATCTGAACTGCCTCATTTATAACCCATCCAAATGGCCTGAAGCAATTGTGGTCCAGACTTTCAGCTGGGACTGCTGGGACTTTGGATATGAATTCCTAGAAAACACCAAAACTTTCCTTTACTAGAAAACAGAGCTGCAGTTTTTAGTGGTGGCTGTTCCCCAGGGTCAGAGCACCAACACCCAGCTGCCCTCACCTCCTGCAGCCACTCAGGAATCTCACAGAGGTGCAACAATTCCTTCAAGGCACACCAGAGCTTGTTCCACAGGAGTTTTCAGCAGAGATAGAAACCCCACTCGTGTTTTTTGTTATCTACATTATTTTCTCCTGGCTCATGTAAATCCTCACAATTCACATGCAGCAGAGCACCCCCAAAATAAGGGAAAAGTGAGTTTTCCTGAGTGCTGGGGGGAAAAAACAGGAATGGAAATGGTGGGAGAGGATGAGGAGGGCAGAGCAGCTGCTGGCAGAGCTCAGAGTCATGTCCTGCCCATTTCTAACAAACCTTTCAAACCTCTGCAATTCTTTCAATATTGTCAATTTTATTTCAAGAATAGTTTAAGACAGAACCAAAAAAAATGGCAAACCCAAATATTTTTAAAAATTTAATATGCAATCCTTAAGAAAGAGGCTTTACAAGCCTCAAATGTTAAATAACCTCTTTGCTGGCTGTGGTTGCAGAGCACTCAGGATGTGCTGATCTTTCACAGCACGTGATGCTGGTGGAACTCCACTCTCCTGCACTCTGACACCCAGCAGCAGTGCAGAGATGAAAAGGAAATGTTTCCTTCCATTGTTTTATTGCTGTCTCATCCCACTGATAAGGTGGCTTTTAGTCTGCTCAAGTTACCTCTAAATTTGGCAGGGACAAAACCTCTTGTCCTCCCCAGTTACTGTTCATCCACATAAATGCTGCTGATTTCAGAAAGGAGAATGAATGATTGAAGAAATAAATATTTTTATGCAGGAAATACACTGACCCATACAATTAATGCATTAATAATCATTAACTTGGAACATTAATTGCATGACTCAGAGTGTCTGAAGTTTTTATTTAAAACCCCCAGACCTGCAGCACACAGAGGCCAAGGGGTGGGGGTGTCTGAGGCCTTCTGAGCTGGCTCTGACTTCAAAGGATGAATCACCAGGATCTGGTTGGTATCAGCAGCACTGGCCTGCACAATAAATAAATAAATGAGCCCACTCAGCCCTTCCCTGGAGGGGTTTCTGTCTCTTGGCCACAGGGAAATGATGCAGCTTGTCTGCAAGCAAACTTTTCATGTTACATAAACCAAGGAAAACATATTTATATAGCAAAGGGTTCCTGAAATAGCCCCTGGAATTTTGAACAGAGCAGTCATTCTTTCCAGGGTTTCAGGATATATTTCAGCAAGAACAAAGACACACTTTTAGTATTTTTTTTTTTAATCTTTCCTTCCAATCTGGTTACAGCAGCCAATGCTGTGTCCATCACAAAGTTAAACAGCTCCACAGTGCAGAGCAAGCCTGGAGAATCCTGAATGCAAACAAACCTGTGTCCATCACAAAGTTAAACAGCTCCACAGTGCAGAGCAAGCCTGGAGAATCCTGAATGCAAACAACCCCAAATAATTTGATACAGACATCAGAATCTGCAAACAACAATAAATTTGTTTATAGCAACATGAGACTGGCTGCCAGGGGATAAATTACTGATCTTGTTGGCTACAGGTGCACCAGTGTTTGAGCTCCTGGCCAGCCTCTTGTACAATCAATTTTTTACCATTTAAAAGCAGCTCTAACAGAAGGAAAAGCAAAACTTTTTAGTTTGCAGCTGGTGCTTCAGAAGAGCATCATCCTACCTTCAGGCACCACCAACGGCCCTGGGAGCTTCTCATTTGCCTTTAATTATGTGCTTTACTCATTAAGAGCTTCAACTCCTGCAGTGTGTGTGTGTGTCTCAGGCCAGGGTGGGAGCCACAGCTCTGCTGTCAGGCTGCAGGTTGATGAGGGAGTTGCTGGCCTGGGCCAGCTCTGCAATGGACACTCGGCCTCGCTGCTTGATGTACTGCGCCACGGCTGCCATCTCCTCTGCTGTGATGTAGATGAACTTTCCCCTGTCATCAATCACACCTGCAGGGCAAACACAGCACTGAGAGGCTCCCCTCACCTCCCCAGGCATCACTCACTGCTTTGGGAAGGGAACATCCCATCCAGCCGCCTAGGCCAGGCAGGATTTATCTCCTGGCCACTGCTGGGAGCTGGAGCAGCAGCCCAGAGCCCTGGGAAAGCTCCTTTTGCTCAAAGGAAAAGTTCTGGCACTGAGAACAGCTGGCTGGGAGCTCCACAGCAGCTGCTGCAGGGATCCTGAGCTGGATGGGACCCACCAGGATCACTGATCAGCTCCTGGTCCTGCACAGACACCCAACAATCCCTGGGCATCCCTGGGAGTGGTGTCCAAACTCTCCTGGAGCTCTGGCAGATTTGGGGCAGTGCCCATTGCCTGGGGAGCCTGGGCAGTGCCAGCACCCTCTGGGGGAAGAACCTTTCCTATCTCCATAAATCCCCCTGACCCAGCTCCAGCCATTCCCTGGGTCCTGTCCCTGTCACACAGGGCAGAGATCAGAGCTGCCCCTGGGTTGGAAGCTGCAGAATTTGATGAATCTCCTCTCAAGCCAAGTGCCCTGAGCTGATCCTCACATGGATTCCTCTCCAGACCCTTCCCCATCCTAACCCTGCTTGTTTTGGTGCTCATGTTCCCAGCTCAGAGCTGGTGGAGAAAGGCAGAGCAGGAAGGTCCTTGTGGGGCCCAGCTCAGCCTTTCCAGCTTCCCCTCTGAAGGGAATGCAGCTCAGCTCCCATATTCCTGTGGCTCCACCCAGACTGAGAACAGAACTCTGGTTTGATGTATTCCACTGAGAAAGAGCCTCCCTGCCTTTGGACAGCACACATCCTTCTCCCAGCATTCCAAGCATCTTTAAGGCATTTGAAAGGGTTTCCGCATTGCTGAGAAATTTTTAGGGCATTTGAAAGGGTTTCCACAGATTGGAAACCACCCCAAATCATCCCAGTAATTCTCTCAAATTCACATTTCAGAAGGCCCCATTTGCAGCTGGTTGCTCAGCAACCCCAAAAGGCCTTCAGCAGATGGGTAAATAAATAAAATATAAATATAAATCTAGCTATCAAGTCCTACTAGATCCTTAGAACTAGATCCTTATAAATAGATTAAACTAGATAGATTAAAATAGATTAAATTTATAAAACTAGATCCTACTAGATCCTTATAAATAAAATATAAAATATAAAACCCATTTGCAGCTGGCTGCTCAGCAACCCCAAAAGGCCTTCAGCAGATGGGTAAATAAATAAAATATAAATATAAATCTAGCTATCAGGTCCTACTAGGTCCTTAGAACTAGATCCTTATAAATAGATTAAACTAGAAAAACTTAAATATATAGATTAAAATTATTACATTTAAATTATTAAAATTAAAAGTATATAGATTAAAATTATAAATTATAAAACTAGATAGATTAAAATAAATTAAATTTAGAGAACTATATCCTTATAAATAGATTAAACTAGATAGATTAAACTTATAGATTAAAGTATAAATACGTTAAATATATATTCAAATTATTAATTTTGAAGTATTAAAATTAAAATATATACATATTAAAATTATAAATATATTAAACTAGATTAAACTTTTAAAACTAGATCCTACTAGATCCTTATAAATAAAATATAAGATATAAAAACCCATCTGCAGCTGGCTGCTCAGCAACCCCAAAAGGCCTTCAACAGATGGGTAAATAAATAAAATATAAATATCTAGCTATCAAGTCCTACTAGCTCCTCAGAACAGGAATGGCACTGGAATTCTGTCTCTGCCACAGGGAAGCATTTTCTGCACCAGCAGCTACAGGAAGATCCCCTTTGTGCTTTGGCTGTCACCTGTCAGGGTGCCATCTGCCATCAGGTCCTGGATTCTGTTAACTGCATCCTGTGCAGAAGAGAAAAAGGAGCAAAAAATATTTCACACGTTCAGATCAACTCCAGAGGTTTACCTTGGAATCCCTCAGGGTTAAGGAATTCTGTACTCCCACACAGAGAGATGGAATCAGCCCTTTGGTCTTAAAGGGGTGATTCTTTATTTTTTTTTTTGGATTTTGGGATGTTCCAATTAAATTCCCTATCTCTTAAAAGAGACTTTTATTGCCATTATTTGGCTGTTTCAAGGAGCAGGGGTTACGGGAATCTTCCCATGGAAAGGCCGTGCAGTGCCATGAAGTTCCATGAAGCACTGAGGTCCTTCTCCAAGGTCCTTGCTCAAAAATTCCATGTTTTTTGTATATTTTCCTGCTCCTTTTAGGAGCAAACCTCTCCTAGCAACCCAAAGCAACAACCTGTTGAATTTATGGCTGGGTTTACTCAACAGTTACTCCAAGCATGCAGTTCCACTGCACCTTAACCAAGGTTTGTAGATGTCTACCTCTCTTTCTTGTTGTTACATGACTGCAGAAGGCAATTATAATTTAGATTTTAACTAGATAAATTCCTGTAAGTAACCCACTGCACACTCAAATGGAGTTTTGGTTTAAGAGGGAGGCAGGGGCCCAGCAAAAATTAGCACTTCCACCCCAAAAGTAATTTTTTTATCTTTTTTTTACCTGTGTCCTTAAACCCAGATGTGAAGCCATGTCCTCCAGCTGGATAACTTTTGTTTTCTGTGGAGACAAACAAGAGTTAAGCTGATGAATGAGCAAGCTGGGATTTTTTATTTTTTTCCATTCCAATAAAAAAATGCATTAACCAGACGAAGCAGAACCTGTTCCTTTGAGTAACTTTTCCTAGTAAGCACTTTCCTGTGATGAAAAACTCTGAGGTTACCTAAAGCAGGGAGCTCTGTGAAAAAACTGAGTGCTCTGACCCACTTAGGGCAAGGCTAAACCCATCTGCCAGCCTTGATTGATCCTGGACTTTTCCTCACACTGGGATGAGCACAAGGACTCTGCTCCTCCACCTCCTGAGTTTCTCAGCTGCTACCTTGAATTTCCAGAGTGTTTTATCAACATCCCTTTCTTCTTTCAGGGATGTTTCAAAGCACCTTTTAAAACACCACTGGTGTGTATCAGCACTTACATAAAACCCAGGCAAGACTGGCAGCCTGAAGTGCTTTAGTTCTGTTTTACTGATGCCATGTGTATTAATGCCATAATAATCTTCCTAAGCAAGCCAACACCTTATTAAAATTGTCAGTGCTGGAACTGCACATTGTCATTTTGCTTTCTGACAGATTCTTCCTGCAGCTTTTCTCAGTCAAGGCACAGCCACTACTGCTCCCATCTGGTTTTGTTCTTCTCTGTAGCTCCAGAGAAAACACCTGCAGGGCTTGTCTGGAGCTACCTGGTTCCTGTTTTCTTCTCTGCCAAAGTTTTAGGAACTCATCTGTTTAGCTGCAAAAGGATGCAGTGCTTGTAAGGAGCTTGGGAAAGACAAAAGTGTTGGAAAGCTCAGTTAATATTCAGGTTTACATTCCTAAAATCCATGTATGTACAGCCACAGGAGCTGCACCTCCAGGAACAAATTAAAATACTTCAAACAATAAAATCCTTTGTTTCTGGTCTTGAGAGCATACTGGGAGGCCACTGAAGAAATCAAGAGAGGCTGAAATAGATGAATCTTGTTCATTAATGAAACCAGACCCAAAAGGAAGGCACACACAGATTTAGCAGCTGTGAAGTTCGATGCAGCCAAGCTAGAGAACTGAATACCATGGACTGAACACACGGAACTGGAACCAGTCCATGGAATTCAGTTCTCAGAGCTGGGAACTGCCAACATTCGTCACATCTTCTTTTAAAGGGACTGGGGGGGTTGGTGCAAAGCCACATCAACAGGAGAAACAGCACTTAAACCTTCCCTTAAAGATATTCCCCTTCAATGATCAAGTTTAGTGGAAGCTTTCCAAGACAGATCCTGCTGGGAATGAGAGCCCAAGGGGGTGGGATGAGGGTGCGCCCCCACACTCTGGAATACAACAACATGAGGTCCCAAGGGAATAAAACACTTCTCCACATGCATCATGTTCTACAGACAGGCTTAGCAACAAAAAAAAAAAAAATCCATATTTTCCTGAATTAATTTCATTTTAGGGGTGATGCTGCTGCTGTCCTTAGCAAGAGGCTGCATTTTGCTCCAAACACCCTTAAAAATAAAGCACAGGGTAAGCTATCACCAGTCAATGATACCAGCATAAGAAATTATTCAGCAGAAGAGCTAAATTCAATTTTACTTTTAAAAAAAATGCCAATTCCTCTTAATTTATACGTTTTTTTCCTGACAGCTACGAGCAGCTCAGCACTGCTTCCTGTCAATGGTTTCTGTGAACAGAACAGAAATACATAATCTATACACTAAGCACAATCTCAAGATTAAAGAAAAATACCTAAAACTTGAGAAAGAAAGCAATGCCCCATTTCTGCAGCTCAGCTCTGCAGAGGAAATCAGGTGTCGAATATTCAGACTTGGGTTTCCAGCCCAAGTTTAATTTCTCTGACGTCAAGATGAAGTGACTGATAGAGAATTTTGTGCTGAAACACTCAGCTGGGAGTTTGTGACTAATCTGGTCCATCCACCACAACCCCAGGGGCAATGGGCAGAGCCTGTGTCATGCCCTGGAAAGCTCCCAGTGCTTGTGGAAGATCCCAAGGGACGCTGGAATTTCCTTTTTTTAGCTACAGAAGTGAAGGAGAAGCAGAGAGCAGCCCAGCAGAGCTTTGCAGGACTCAGCTCTGAGCTCCTGTCCAGAACTTCCAAAGGACTCCCCAAGGAGAATTATCCATGAGGTAAATCTCGAACTCCAGGAGATAAATCTGCTGTAAATTCAGGGTTTTGCTGGGATAATGGACGTACAAAATGTGAGATTTTGGGATATAAATTGGTCAGCAGCTCACTGAGTATCAAGTGATACTAGTAGCAAGTGATTTGTTTGCTGGAGAAGCCTTTCACACAGGTCACACATCCTGATACTTCAGATTCCAGTAAAAGAACAAAGGGATTAATTAGGAAAAAAGATTTGCATGCCAGTGTTGGAGTGAGAGGAGAAAAATGCATCCGACCTTTGATACAGCAATTTGCCCTCAGATCAAAAGCACAAATGAGCACAGGCAAGGTTTTAAACACCCAGCCATACAATGGGAGGGAAGGGAGACTGACACACCCTGGTTAAAACAAGGCAGCTGCTTCTTAAAGTGCTCTCCTGAACACAGAAAAAACATGTAGGATAGAAAAAAACTGCAGGAAGCACCAGAAAAGTTGGGATTGAGCTTTCCAGTTCCAGTGTTGAAGGCTCCAAACCACCCTCCAGGTACAGCAGCTCTCCTTCCTGTTTTTAAACTGTTTTTAAATCAGTGGCTGATGCTCACAAACAAAAAAGCCTGAATGCCCCAAAAAATCCCAATCCACAGCAAATATTGCTTCTATAAACTCTGAGGGAGATCCACCAGGCCGCATCCTGCCCCAAAAGCCAGGACCCAGCTGGAATTAAATTATTTTAGATAGTTGTGTTTGTGCTGGTTCAGTAAATAACACTTACTGAAGGGATCACTTTTGTTACTTGTTGAATATTTAAATAAATGAAAGAGGAAGTAAAGATTGTGACAGAAGGTATTTCATACCATCTAAGGAGAAAAACCAAAGGCACCTTACCTTAACATATTCCAGGAATTCCATGAGAAAGCTGCGAGACTGAAGACAGCAAGGAAAACAATTTTAATTTTGAATTCATGAGTTTTAAATGCATCAAAAACTTGCTGGGTATAAACACTGCAGAAGTGTTCAGATGGCATAATTCCTAAGTTTTAGCTACACACACCGAGATATTGAACTGGGAAGAAAAATAATCTAGATTTAATCTTCACAAGCGATTTCTGACAGGTATTTTTTGAGAAAGAATGTGGCTCAGGTACAATTTAAGTATTTCATGAGCATTAAATGCATCAAAAACATGCTGAAGATAAATACTATAAAAGTGTTTGAATTGCATAATTCCCAAGTTTTAACTACACACACTGAGATGTTGAACAGGGAAGAAAAATAATCTAGATTTAATTTTTACAAGGGGCTTAGGTACAATTTAAGTACTTCATGAGCATTAAATGCATCAAAAACTTGCTGAGGAAAAATACTATAGTAGTCTTTAGATTGCATAATTCTTTAGTTCTAACTACACACGCTGAGATATTGAACTGGGAGGTAAAATAATCTAGATTGAATCTTCACAAGGGGTATTTTTGAGACAGAATGTGGCTCAGATACAATTTAAGTATTTCATGAGCATTAAATGCATCAAAAACTTGCTGAGGATAAATACTATAACAGTGTTCAGATTGCATAATTCTTTAGTTTTAACTACATACACTGAGATATTGAACTGGGAAGAAAAATAATCTAGATTTAATTTTCACAGGGGATTTCTGACAAGTATTTTTGAGACAATATGGCTCAGGTACAATTTAAGTATTTCATGAGCATTAAATGCATCAAAAACTTCTGAGTATAAATACTACAAAAGTGTTCAAATTGCATAATTCCTAAATTTTAACTACACACACTGAGATATTGAACTGAGAAGAAAAATAATCCAGATTTAATCTTCACAAGGGATTTCTGACAGGTATTTTTTGAGAAAGAATGTAGCTCAGGTACAATTTAAATATTTCCCAAAAGGTTATCATCCAATTTTTTATTCTTCACATCATAAATACCCTGAAATAACCACATCTGGGTGAGTTTAAGCATCATTAAATCACACACCCAGGACATTCTGTGCAGAGGAAAACCCAGAGTGACTCAGGAGCTGCAGCTGGCCCAGGGCAGCACAGCTGCACAGCACCTGGGGAGGCTCAAGCATTTCAGAGCCATGCACCTGAAATGCAGTGAGCAGAGGCAATGCAAACACTGTGCACTGCAGCTAAAAGGAGATCAGGTTGCTCTGGAACCCCAGGAATCAATCAGCCTTAATTAACTGGTGAGCTCTGGAGGCAGGAGGTGATTTTCAGCAGAGCCAGCTTTGCCAACAGGACACTGAAATGCTTCAGAACCTCAGCCACCACCAGGCCAGGCTGACTGCTTCATTTCCTTCTCATTTCTGCTGCCTCCAAATAACTCTGTACTCTGTTATTATTTCTGAATGTGACTTTTAAATCACCTGCAATTCAAGTTCTAGCTCCCCTAACACCCCTACCAAAATTATCTCAGGTTAAGATGCAGGCATCTCAAACTCTTTTAGGTGAGGAACCTAAAACCTTCTCTGTTCTGACATGGAGGGAGATGAATTTCTCCTTGACAGGCAGCTGTAGGAACATGGACAATCACCACCTTCCAGTTTGAAGGGTGTTTAAAGTGGAACTCAGCAATATTTAGGGATAATCTCATCTCCTAACAGGACAGGGACAGATTTTTGAAGGAATTGTCAATAAAAGTGTGTATTTTTTGCTGTTCACTGCAATTCCCCATCAGCAGACAGAACTTTTGCTGTTAATCCTGGTGTGATGGAGGAATTTTTCTTGATGGAAGGGATCCATCAAGGGAACCTGTAATGAGTCAGTGGTGCTTGACACTGGGCACAATCTGCTGTGCTCAAAGCCACTCTCAGTCACACTAAAGCAAATCCATTTAATTCCAGAGTCTCTTCAGCAGAGCAGCAAATGCACACATGGCCCTGAAATAAATCCTTCCCCAGAAATGCATTGGACAGCTCAAATTGGCAGCTGCAACCCAAGAGCAACTGCAGGATGTGATAGCAAATAAATTGTGTCTAACAGGTTTTCAGCAGACAAAACAAGAATTCTGCCTCCCACAACAGCAAAACTTCTTCGGGTTTGCTGTGATTTTATATCAAATATCACATTTCAGCCACCATCCCCAGCAGCTCTGCAGGCAGCCACAGGAGCAGCAGTGTGGGTTTGTCCTGAATATTCCCTTATCAGAAGCCTTTAGAGACAAGAGCTTGGTTTTTAATTTGATTTCACAGCAGCTCTCTTGGTGTAGAAAATCAAGCCAAACCCAAATAATTGCCCCCAAGGTCTGTGGGCACTTTTAAACTCCAAATTCAGCTTTACTTTTAAACTCCAAATTCAGCTTCGCTGGCTCAGTCTCTATGGGTAAGGCAGAGCTGCTGACAGTGAGGGATAATCTGAATTCCAGGATGAGTTTTATTTCAGTTCTTAGACACAGGGAGGACAGAACTCATTTCCAGCAAGTTCTCTCAGAACTCAAATACCCTGTAGGAGTCTGCTATGAGGAACAGCAGCATTCCCCAGGAAATATTCCAGGGTTAACCTGTGCCACAGACACAATTTAGCTGTCACAAGCAAAAACCTTTGGCTGACTCCTACTTTTAATTTCATTTTACACAAGATAGAATGCAGCAAGTCTAACAGGAGAGGGGGAACTGCAGAACCAGCCTGACATACCTGCTCCTCTGTCATTGACTCTTCAACCCCTTCCTCTTCAACCACAAAACTCTCCTTCAGCTTCAGGTACTCTTCATATTCTCTCTTCTCCTCCTCTTCCTTTGCCTTCCTTTTTTCCTCTTCCTGGGCAGAAAAGATGACAAGTGGTCAAGTTTGCTCTTTCCCAAACCAGGTTTGAAGTGAAGCAGCATCTCCTTCCTCTGCAGCCAGCACAGAAAAAGTTTTAAAAATGAGTTTAAGATGTCCCTTGATGGCACAACCAATTTCAGAAGCCACCCTTGAGGCAGTGACCACCTCACAGCCAGGGCTGGTTCTCAGCAGAGCTGACAGAAAACCTCTTAAATAGCAACCTGCCTGCTTCATTTGCATCAATCTGCTCTGCTCACAGGAAGTCCCTGCCCCTCCCTGCACTCTGATGCCACATTCACAGTTTTGGTTGAAGCAGAACCGGCCCCAGGTCCGCTCTGCCACTGCAGGACACTGGGAGTGCTCACAAGGATTACACTGGTGGAGAGTTTCAGGGAAAATCAAGTTTTTAAGGAAAATCTTGTGAAAACTTTCTTCCTACATGGACAACATATAAAATTAAATAATATCTAAATTATCATATTAAGTGTTTTAGGCACAAGGGTGATTGTATTAACAAAAGGAGTTTTTCACTTTTACTTTTTGTTTGTTAAACAAAAGCCTTAGGTTTTCAGTTATCTGCAATAAAAAAACTTCATGGCCTGCCCTGAAATAAATAATAAAGCCTTAAAGGCCACAAGAAAGCTGAATCTCTCTGCACTTTGATGCCACATTCACATTTTTGGTTCCTGGCCCCAGGTCTGCTCTGCCACTGCAGGACACTGGGAGAGCTCACAAGGATTACACTGGTGGAGAGTTTCAGGTAAAATCAAGTTTTCAAGGAAAATCTTGTGAAAACTTTCTTCCTACATGGAAAAGATATAAAATTAAATAATATCTAAATTATTTAATATAAAGTGTTTCAGGCACAGGAGGCAAGGCATGATTGTATTAACAAAGTAAAGGTTTTACTTTTACTTTACTTTTTGTTTGTTAAACAAAAGCCTCGGGCTTTTAGTTATCTGAAATAAAAAAAAACTTCATGGCCTACCCTGAAATAAATATTAAAGCTTTAAAGCCCACAATAAAGCTGCCCTTCCCTGCACTTTGATGCCACATTCACATTTTTGGTTCCTGGTCCCAGGTCTGCCATTCCAGGACATTGGGAGTGCTCACAAGGATTACACTGGTGGAGAGAAGCTGTGAAAGTTTCAGGTAAAATCAACTTTTCAAGGAAAATCTTATGAAAACTTCCTTCCTACATGGATAATATATAAAATTAAATAATATCTAAATTATTATATTAAGTGTTTTAGGCACAAGAGGTGACTGTATTAACAAAAGGAGTTTTTTACTTTTATTTTTTGTTTGTTAAACACAAGTCTTAGGTTTTCAGTTATCTGCAATAAAAAAAACTTCACGGCCTGCCCTGAAATAAATATTAAAGCTTTAAAGCCCACAACAAAGCTGCCCCTCCCTGCATTTTGATGCCACATTCACATTTTTGGTTCCTGGCCCCAGGTCTGCTCTGCCACTGCAGGACATTGGGAGTGCTCACAAGGATTACACTGGTGGAGAGAAGCTGTGAAAGTTTCAGGTAAAATCAACTTTTCAAGGAAAATCTTATGACAACTTCCTTCCTACATGGATAATATAGAAAATGAAATAATATATAAATTATTACATAAAGGATTTTAGGCACAGGAGGTGATTGTATTAACAATCTGTATAAAGCTTTAAAGTCCACTGGGAGTGCTCACAAGGAACACTGGATTACACTGGTGGAGAGAAGCTCTAAAAGTCTCAAGTAAAATCAAGTTTTTAAGGAAAACCTCTTTCTTATGAAAACTTTCTTCCTACATGGATAATATAAAATTAAATAATATCTAAATTATTATATAAAGTGTTTTAGGCATAGGAGGTGATTGTAGTAACAAAAGGAGTTTTTTACTTTTACTTTTTGTCTGTTAAACAAAAGCCTTAGGTTTTCAGTTATCTGCAAAAAAAAAAAACTCCATGGCCTGCCCTGAAATAAATATTAAAACTTTAAAGCCCACAATAAAGGCCTCCACTTTGATGCAAGTTTACATTTTTGGTTCCTGGCCCTAGGTCTGCTCTGCCAATGCAGGACACTGGGAGTAAAAGTTTCAGGTAAAATCAAATTTTCAAGGAAAATCTCTTTCTTATGAAAAATTTCTTCCTACATGGATAATCTATAAAATTAAATAATATAAATTACTATATAAAGTGTTTTAGGCACTCCTTTTGTATTAACAAAAGGTGTTTTTTATATGCTGGTTTGGTAAACAAAAGCTTCAGGTTTTTAGGCAATAAAAAAACTTCATGGCCTACCCTGAAATAAATATTAAAACCTTCAAGCCCACAATAAAAGTTTTTTGGAGTTTTCTGGCCCAGAAAACTCCAAGCCCAGCATCAGTGCCACGGTGATGCCTGGGTCTGTGGAATTCACACCTTCACAAATCAAAATTGTGATTAATTGTGAATGTGACAGACTGCTCAGAAAATGTTCCAAATAAGAACTGGTTTTTACTGGGAGCTCCTAAATGTGCAGTTATCCATTATTTTAATTTAAAAATGGTTTTGTTCTTCGACAAGAGAAGGCTGGAGTAATGCTGGAGGTTGGATTTGATGATCTCAGAGGCCTTTTCCCATCTCAAAGGTTCCGTGGCTCCCACAGAACAGAAAGGTTTCCCTGCAGGAAATGTTGCACAGAGGAATTTCTGTTTGTGCAGCACCTGGTACAGAGAGGTTCCCAAAGGATCTGCCTCTGGCTCCATCACATTCCAGAGGCTGATTAAATAAAACAAACTCAGGAGTTCTTCAGATTTCACTGGCAATCCCAGGGCACTCCTCCAGCACCAGCAGAGAAATGGAGTTTTTAAAGAACAATGATATTGATTTCTAAATGCTTGTCATGGTACATCTTGGACATTGATACGGGAATTGCTTCCTTAAGGAGCTGGAATGTAAATATTTGTTCCATAAAAAAAAAACCAAAAAACAAATAGGAACAGGTCATTCAGTATATAGAAAATATATCCATATTAATAAAATATGTCTTTTGGTAAAAAAAACAAAGAGTATTTGGTCCTGCTTTTATTTAAATGTATAAAAAAATAAATAAATAGAATTAGTATGTGAAAACATATAAAATAGTTTTATTTTATATAAATATATATAAATATATAGATATAAAATACATATAAATATAAATAAATTTTCTAAATGCTTGCCATACTATATCTTGGACATTGATACGGGAATTGCTTCCTTAAGGAGCTGGAATGTAAATATTTGTTCCATAAAAAAAACCCCAAAAAACAAATAGGAACAGGTCATTCAGTATATAGAAAATATATCCATATTAATAAAATATGTCTTTTGGTAAAAAAACAAAGAGTATTTGGTCCTGTTTTTATTTAAATATATTAAAAATTATTATATTATATACATAGAATTACTATATAAAACATATAGTTTTATTTTTATATAAATATATAAATATAAAATATATAGATATAAAAATACATATAAATACAAATAAGTAAATTTTCTAAATGCTTGCCATGCTACATCTTGGACATTGATATGGGAATTGCTTCCTTAAGGAGCTGGAATGTAAATATTTGCTCCATTAAAAAAAAAAAAAAAAAAGAAGTAGGAACAGGTAATTCAGTATATAGAAAATATATCCATATTAAAAAAGATGTCTTTTCGTAAAAAACAAAGTATTTGGTCCTGTTTTTATTTAAATATATTAAAAATTATTATATTATATACACAGAATTAATATATAAAACATATAGATTTATTTTTATATAAATATATAAATATATAAATATAAAAATATAAAGATATAAAACTTAATATAAATATAAATAAATAAATTTTCTAAATGCTTGCCATGCTGTATCTTTGACATTCATATGGGAATTGCTTCCTTAAGGAGCTGGAATGTAAATATTTGTTCCATTAAAAAAAATAAAAAAAAAAGAGACAGGAACAGGTTGTTCAGTAGATAGAAAATATATCCATATTAAAAAGATGTCTTTTGGTAAAAAACAAAGTATTTGGTCCTGTTTTTATTTAAATATATTAAAAAAATTATTCTATTATATAAATAGAATTAATATATATAAAACATATAGAATAGTTTTATTTTTATATAAATATATAAAAATATATAGATATAAAATAGGTATAAATATAAGTAAATAAATTTTCTAAATGCTTGCCATGCTGTATCTTTGACATTGATATGGTAATTGCTTTCTTAAAGAGCTGGAATGTAAATATTTGTTCCATTAATAAAAACAACAGGGAGAGACAGGAACAGGTAATTCAGTATACAGAAAATATATCCATATTAAAAAAAAAAGTTTTTGGGTAAAAAACAAAGTATTTGGTCCTGTTTTTATTTAAATATATAAAAAATTTATTATATTACATAAATAGAATTAATGTATAAAGATATAAAATCATTTTAGTTTTATATAAATACATAAAAAGATATAAATATATAAAAATAAAACTAATATATAAAACATATAAAATAGTTTTAATACAAATATATAAAATATATAAAAATAGAATATATAAAACATAAATAGTTTTATTTCTATAAAATATAAAAATATATAGATATAAAAATTTATATAAATAGAATTACTATATAAAACATATAAAATAGTTTCATTTTTATCTAAATATATATAAATATAAAAATATATAAAATATATAAAAATAGAATATATAAAACATATAAAATAGTTTTATATTTATATAAATATATAAAAATATTAAAATTATAGCTATAAAATATATACATATATAAAAATAGAATTAATATATTATAGTTTTATTTTAATGAACAAATTAAATTTTTATATTTTAATTTTAATTTTATTATAAAATTTTAATATTTAATATAGTCTATATTTATTCTAATATAAAAACATAAATAGTTTTATTTTTATATAAATATATAAAAGTATATAAAATATATATAAAAATAGAAATAGATATAAAAATAAATA